GAAGACATTCAAGAATGGGTTTTCATATCTGTGTTAAATTTGTTTTGAAATAAACATTTTCAAAAGTTAGGCTGCAATGAACATGGGGGTGCAGATATTTCTTTGACACAGTGTTAAGAGGCAAGTGTTAAGAGGCAAAGTTAAATCTGCCAGTCTCAGAGACCTGCTGAGGGCTGCCTACTGCTCATTAGTCAGTCACTGTGGGGGTCAGTGTTCTGGTCCTTTCCCTGTCGAAAGGCCAAGCATTCTAGCAGTTTGACATTTTGTTATATATACCCTAAAAAATTCAGTTTCTCTTCTCTATCAAGTCAAATGTGAAAAAATAGATTTGACAACTGTAGTAAGAAGCTTTATTTCTTCCAAGAAACTGATTTGCTCCTTTTCCCAAATAACACGAGCTATATGACTTATCAGTTCTCCTCTTTTTGCCCAGACTACCAGGAAACTCAAAGTTGCCTCTCATACTAAGACCAGCACATTTTAGCCCTTCCTGGTGGACATGTGCTTTTTTTCTCTTCTCCATGTTCCAAACTATGTTGTTTCATGTCAGCTCTACGGTGTATGTGTATGAGTCAAGAAGACAGAAAGAAATACAGACTCATAAGGGAAAGGCCCTTGAATTATTTCCCCAGAGGGTTGCTGGGGCATCACTTTGCCCTGTCCAACTTTGTCCACTTTAAGCCAGCACAGGGGAATCATTTGCCACAGTGGAACAGATCCTGTCTACCGCCCTCCCCAACAGCAGATGGCCACTCCGTACAAATCCATGTCATACATCATTGCTGAGTGAGACACCACCATCCACTGGACAAATCACTAGCATCTTTGCTCCAACTCAGTAGGCTAGGAATTATATGTGTGTGCTCAATAGACTCTGGTTCAATAAGTGTTCAGCTGTGGGGCCCCTACTGAGCATCTTCACAATGGAAAGGGGTGGAGCTAGGGGCTTCCAGAGGGATTAGGGTTAGATGTTTAATTACACTGGGCATTTTAATTAGGTCAGGCAAAGCTTTTGCAAAGAGGTGAAAGCATTGTCCCTCCAAGCAAGCACCTCTCTGGCCTGTTTTGCTTCCTTGATTCACAAGTTAGTCTCTTTAGAATGTTTCTCTTGTCCTTTGTTTATTTGAGGCTGACAGTCTGGCATCAGGCCCAGTTTAATATAAATTTTACTGTTGCTATCACATCCCCAATTCTATCAAGAAGGTTATTATCATGTTGTCTAAGACACCTTACAATGGTAATTATCAGGCCAGGTGCACACCCATACTCACCCCACCCCACCCCTTTCTACTTTGAATTTCAGAAATGAACTCTATGCTCACTCCCATTTCATTGAGACAACAAGAACCTGTGACTCGACGGCATGGCAAAGTAGATATTTAGCGATTATCTAGATCATTTGATTGGGATAGGCAAACAATTCATATAATTTAGGTTCTAGAGTATATCTGCGGGTCTAAAAGACAGGGAAAATCTTCCAATAGCTTATAATTGCTTCAGAGTTCTATAAACACATAGGCTGCTTTTATAGCAAATTTGCTTCCCTAATTATGTTTTACATAATCTAATGTGTTCATATTAATTTGTATTCTCTAAGCATATACCAGCCCAAAGGTATGTTGCCTGGTAAGCTGGCCGAGGAAAACTGACCACAGGTGATCATCAGGGTAGAGCTGAAAGTTGGCAATTAACAGGAAAGATCCAGTACTGACAAAAGGAAGGAATGACTGCAGCATTTGGTTTGGAAAATGGTGTGTGGGTGTGTGTGTATGTGGGTGTGTGCACGTGCACACACACACACATGCAAGCAAGCACACATGCGCATTGTGTGCAAGTTCCATTGTTGGTTTCGGTGCAGAGTTGGGTCAGACCCTTAGCATGACTTTAGAACATGGGCATCAACGGTGAATGATGGTAATAATAACCCACTTCAGGGGTGTGGATGTTAGCCATTAGACATACACCTCTGGCTTTGAGCCAAGACTTGAGGTGGAGTCTGAGCCTGGACTTGTCCAGGAGGCCTATGCCTTCAGCAGGTAGAGTCTTACTGCAAAATTATATCACACTAACAATGAGACTTACTGGAAAAACAAATAAAATGCTTTAAATGTTTAAATGCACTTCCAAGTATTCATCCTTCAAATATTTAGACTCTGAGCTGACTGGGCCAAGAGCCCAAGCTTCCTGTGCATGCTGGATGGTTCCAACAATCTCCCCAAAATCAGCAAATATATAACGACTTACAATATCATCCTTTTGGAGCCAAAAAAATTATTCCCCAGGTATTGCTCCAGGAAATCAGCTAGGTCTTTGTCCAAAGGTCTCCGTAACATCTATAGAGTTGATTCATTTTTAATAAACTTTCACCAAGACCTCCATAAGACCATGGTCTGTGTCCACTGTGAGGTTGCACCATAAACAAGAGTGGATGGAGATTTGGGGGTAGAGGTGGGTAGGAGGAAAAGGAAGGAAGAGGGAGAGAGAGGCAGAAAGAGCAACATGTTGAGGAAACTGGTCGCCATCGAAGGCTTTGATGCCTTAATCAAGTCTGCAAGAGGAAATAGGAGAAAACCAGGAATTTTGTTTTTGTTTTTTAAGGGATGGGAAGAGGAAGGTGAGGGCAGCAGAGACAGATTTCCTTTTGCATTTAAATTTCTCTAAATTCAGTAATCATAAAATTCATTCTCCTTTTCCCAGGGATATTCATACAAAAGCTTCCCTTTTTTGAAGCCTCCATAGCAAAAAAAAATCTGATTCTAGAGTTTAGCCATCTCTTCTTTAACTAAGAAACTCCACCAAATTAAAGAAATACCCTTCATATAGACCTTGATTCTAGAATATTTTATTAGTACTTTGTTCAGTCTTCCCTGTGGACTAGGTAGAACAGTGGAGTCAAATTTTACATGCATTTGAAGACATGAACAGACATTTTTCCAAAGAAGACATCCAAATGGCCAACAGACACATGAAAAAGTGCTCAACATCACTCAGCATCAGGGAAATCCAAATCAAAACCTCAATGAGATACCACCTCACACCAGTCAGAATGGCTAACATTAACAAGTCAGGAAATGACAGATGTTGGTGAGGATGCGGAGAAAGGGGAACCCTCCTCCACTGTTGGTGGGAATGCAAGCTGGTGCAGCCACTCTGGAAAACAGTATGGAGGTTCCTCAAAAAGTTGAAAATAGAGCTACCATACGATCCAGCAATTGCAGTACTGGGTATTTACCCCAAAGATACAAATGTAGGGATCCGAAGGGGTACGTGCACCCCGATGTTTATAGCAGCAATGTCCACAATTGCCAAACTGTGGAAAGAGCCAAGATGTCCATCGACAGATGAATGGATAAAGAAGATGTGGTATATATATACAATGGAATATTATACAGCCATCAAAAGGAATGAGATCTTGCCATTTGCAACGACGTGGATGGAGCTGGAGGGTGTTATGCTAAGCGAAATAAGTCAATCAGAGAAAGACATGTATCATATGACCTCACTGATATGAGGAATTCTTAATCTCAGGAGACAAACTGAGGGTTGCTGGAGTGGGGGGTGGGGTGGGAGGGATGGGGTGGCTGGGTGATAGACACTGGGGAGGGTATGTGCTATGGTGAGTGCTGTGAATTGTGCAAGACTGTTGAATCACAGATCTGTACCTCTGAAACAAATAATGCAATATATGTTAAGAAAAAAAAAAAGAAGATAGCAGGAGGGGAAGAATGAAGGGGGAAAAATCGGAGGGGGAGATGAACCATGAGAGACGATGGACTCTGAAAAACAAATTGAGGGTTCTAGAGGGGAGGGGGGTGGGAGGATGGGTTAGCCTGGTGATGGGTATTAAAGAGGGCACGTTCTGCATGGAGTACTGGGTGTTATGCACAAACAATGAATCATGGAACACTATATCAAAAATTAATGATGTAATGTATGGTGATTAACATAACAATTAAAAAATTTTAAAAATTTACATGCATTTAACTTTTATAAGTTTGGTTATGTGAAAAAGTCAGAGTGGGGTGGCATGGGGTGGGTACTGGCTGAGAAACAGTCCACCAGTCCCTGGCATGGCACCTTCCTAAGAGAGGTACAAGGGCAGTTTTGATTGTCTGTGGCCTTCATCCTGTGGCTGGCTTCAGAACCTGACCCTCCGATCAGACACAACAATGCTGAATGATTGCCCCTTGGGAAATGGAAAAATAAAAAAGAAGCAGAGTCATTTTTCCGATGTTTCTCAATCTGTACCATAAGGAGAATCTTGGCTTTCTAAATCTTTGGGCCCAGCTACAAAGCCCACCACCATCTCTTTCACCTTTTTTTTCTTATTGTGGAGTACAAAAATGGGGTCCACTAACGAAAAGTATGGGAGGTAGAGCCTTTCTTCCTTCCTTCCTTCCTTCCTTCCCTCTCTCTCTCCTTCTTTCCTTCCTTCCTTCCTCCTTTCCTTCCTTCCTCCTTCCAATATTCGTGGAATATCAACAATGTATCAAGTGCAGGATTCAGCAGTAAGCTAATGCTGAGTCAAAAAGGGAGTCAAAAGACGAGTCTTGACTTGGTTATGTAGAACTAGCACTGTGACACTGGGGGACCTGTGGATCCTTCTGGGTCTCCATCCACCAAAAAAGGTGGGGAAAAAAATGGCAAGTAAGTTCTAAGCTTTCTCCCAGTGATAAAATTCTATGAAATCAACTTAGAAATATTTTCTTAAAACTTAAAAGAAAAAGGGACGTTTGGGTGACTCAAGTGGGTTAAGCGTCCAACTCTTGAACTCAGCTCAGCTCTTGATCTCAGGGGCATGATTTTAGGCCCTGCATTGGGCTCCATGTTGGGCATGGAGCCTACTAATAAACAAACAAACTTAAAAGAAATAGAACAAACTGTCCTTACAGCAACTTCATCAATTCCTGACAAGCACTTTGCCCAAAGCAGCTCTTGCACCTCATCTTCACCTTTCCAGGCTGCAGCCACCTCCACTCACCTCTCTCCTCCAGACTCACCATCATCTCCTCCTCCTCTCAGCTCTGGGGCTTCCAAGCAGACACTTCCACAGAATGAAGAGATGTCTTTCTCGATTTTGTTTCCTGTCGTGGATGCTGTCTTTCAGGTCCCGGGAGGGTGATTCAGGCTTCAGTGTCTTGATGAAAAGTAAGGACAGCCATGTTATGGACAAAAGTATGGAAATGGATCTCTTGTAAGATTAATCATACTTTCGGATTGTGCAAATGCTCCATTTTCAATGACTGCATCATTTGTAATGTGGCTTTGTATGCTATCATTGGGCATGTGAGCCTGTTTGCACTTAGTTGGTTAATTTGGCAATAATAGTGGTTCAAACACCAATTGCCTTTGTTTACTCCAACCTTAAAAAAACATAATGAAACACTTGGTTACTCTCAAAGGGGAAAATGTTCTTATAAAATGCCTGAATGTTTGTGATATCCTATCAGGGAACGTTGGCCAAACACTACTATGGGTAATACCTGCTTCTTCGTTGTTCTAGCCAATCAATGAATACATATTTGAAGGAGGCCTATTCAGTCAACAGGTGACCTTAATTCACTCCCTGAGCATTAAGGAGAAGATTAAAAAAAATAAAAAGTGTAAAATTTCCTGATACCACGGGAGATGTGGTGGAAAGCCAGGACACTTAAATTTGAATCCCACTTATGTGATTCCAGGACAGGGACTCTGTCATTGTGAGCTTTCTATTCCTTGCAAGGACATTAATAACTCCTGCTCTATCTTTCTCATAAAATGCTGGAGAGGGTAAACTGATGGCACGTAAGAAGAAGGGGTTACAGCCACGGAACGCTCCCATCACCAAGCACTGAGCATATCTACTCCCTCAATCTTCACGAGAACCCCATTTTATAAGAAACCCCATCCCTGCACAGGGGAGGGGCTCACTAATAAAAAGTGGAGCTTTTTATCCCAACCAAAGCAGAATCCATGCATTTACCCCCATATGATAATCGATTACACAAAGGTAACTACTAAAATGTTTTAACACAAAAGAGGAGGAAAAAACTTTTCTTTACCCTCCCCCACTTACAATGGCAAGGGGAGGGGGTAGAGAAATGTCTGCAATATTTTAAGTGTACATCACATGATTCAGATGACTTTGCTAGGTTAACAGCATGAAAATGTTTCACATCGTGTGGCTTTCTTACAAAGTTACGATGCTTTTGACTTATTAGGCTTTAAAATATCACACATTTACACAACAATCCCACATTTTCCTCTTGAATTTACATTCCAACAAATGAAAATAATTTTTTAATATGATGGCATTACAAATTGCTGGACTCCAGGGAATCCAGCATCTCTTGCTTTCTGCCTGCTTCTACGGAGCAGGCAAAAACTTGAAAACCAAAGACACCAGCAACCTTCCAGCAAACAAAGGCAGTCATTATGTTTTCTGCACTTAGGAGCTTTTCCTCTGCCAGGCCAATACAGAGAGTACTCATCTCCTTCCAACTCCCAAATCTCTTGACTTCCTCCTTCTCCTTCTCTCTGTCTAGGGCCTTTTGAGTGAGATGGCCAATAAGCCCCTTGTTTCAAATCTCTGCAGGAACAAGTGGATGCTACTCTCAGTGTCCACTAAACCATAAGTCCTTTGAGGATACAGGAAGACATCCACCAATCTCAAGATCAAAATGCAACAAGGGGAAGTGTGCAAAGAAAGGAGGGGCTGCCCACCACTGCCTTCTCTTACAAAAATGGTAGAATCTCTGGGGAGAGCAAGCGGTTTACTCTTGCATAGTACATACACTTCGCAAGGGTTCAAGAATAATACTCTCTACTTAGTTTCACTTTTTAAAATGTTCTTATAGTACAATAAACAACACTATTAGGAGCTGAGTACTTTGATACATGTTCTCTCTCTGAACTTCACTGTGATAGGATTTGAACCTGTGTCCTGCAGACACCAACACTCCGGCCCTTTTCTTTCTTTCTTTCCTGCCTTCCATCTTTCTTTCTTTCTTTCTAACTTTCAAAAGAGAGAGCGGGAGCAGGGGGGAGGGACAGAGGGAGAGGGAGAGAGAATCTCAAGGCTGGAGAATCTCAGCCTGGAGCCCGACGCTTGGCTCAATCTCACAACATAGGGCTGGATCCTACAACCCTGAGATCATGACCTAAGCTGAAATCAAGAGTCAGACGCTTAACCGACTGAGCCAGCCAGGCACCCCTTTCTTTTTTCTTTTCTTTTTTTTTTAAAGTAAGCTCTACACCCAATGTGGAGCTTGAACTCACAACCCCAAGATCAAGAGTTGCACACTCTGTGGACTGAGCCAGCCAGGTGCCCCCAACTCCTGCCATTTTCTTAACAACAGACTGACCTGAATGGATTCCCAAGATCACAAAGTAGTCATTTATGATCATATTTTCTTAATTATTTCATTCCATGTTCTAAAATATGTGTAATTGTGCATTTTCAGGAAAACAACATCAGATCTAAAGAGAATGGAAGGGAAAATTTCTTTCTGAATTTTTTAGGTTTTAGTTACAAAAAGCAACACATCCACTCTAAGCACTCCTTCCCCTCTTTGGTTTTATAATTCCTGTAATGTTTCCCTGGCCCCCACTGCTAGGAAGGGGTAATTGGGTAAACCCAGAGAGGGTTATCAACAGATAGCCAAATCAACAGAAAAGATCAATTTGAAAATAAAATGGTTTGAGATGGATTGACTGCTGGAAAATCAGGGTAGCCATCTCTTTTTAACATGTCAGCACATGTCCCAAATAGTGTTCTCCAGCCTGCTATTCGCTTCCACTGTCCAACTAAGTAGGAATGCCCAAGGGAATAGGACCTTGTCACCTCCCTTGCCTCCTCCCTGCTCCCACTGGCAATCTGGCAGTATTCAGCCCCAAAGGTAGGAGTTTCATCTTGATACGTCTGGACTGGCCCTGGGCCATCCCAACAACCCTAGCATTTCTATTGTCACTTCTCTCAGCGTGGCTGTTTTCACAAAGAAGACATTCTTAATCATGCAGTAGGAACTGGGTCATCACAGCTAAACTCACCGCTTAAAAGAATGAGTTCTGCTAGACAAACATTCCCTTCCAAGTGTGAGGATGTCTTGACCATGATACAGGGTAAAGTGTCCACCATCATGTTCTTCCTCAACAGGTGGTGGGGCAGGGTGCTTCATCCCCAAGAAAGTCCAAGAGGAAAAGGAGAAGGACGGTTTCAGAACATGTAATGTTGTCCAACAAGTCCAACTTAAGTGGGGAGTGGTTAATACTTGCAGGTATAATGCCTATCACTAGTAATTCGGGAGAGCAGCATGGGAAGTCACCATCAGCTCAGATGACCCTAAGCACACAAGTCAAGCAGCCCAATGAAGGTGAGACGGGGCATGAGTGCTGCCCAATGATGGGGCCACGCCCAGCACGGCTGGGTCTGAAGCAAGCCTCCTGATGGCTGAATGTGTTGTGAAATACTCGCAAACTCCTTGGATAAGTAGCTCCCATTCTTAGGATAAATAGAGACTCCCAAGGAAAAAGTACCAGACCACTAAGCCAGAAGACAAACTGATGCAGAATGGTGGCATCCGCAATACAGAACAGCCTGGGAGCCTCTTTGATCTGTGCATTACTATATTTGGCTCAAGGCCCCATTAAAACCAAGCCATTTATGTTGGGGCCAATAAATAGAGCTAATAAAAGGCATCCTTGCACTGGGACTGTGTGAATGGGGGGGAACACAGGCTACCTGTGGCGTTCGGTGAGTGCGGATGCTGACGGCACTGCTGCTGTGCATATACAGCTCCCTCTGCACCCTACATGAGAAGGGCCCGTCGCACCCAGCACAGCGAAGCAGAGTAGAAGCTTCTCCAAGCCCCAGCATAGAAATTGCATTTGACAAATACGCACTGAGCATCAACTAGGTGCCAGAGTATAAACAGGAAGTATACAGAGATGAATAAGAAGTAGGCCCTGCCCATGAGACTCCTGACTAGAACAAAGGCATTTATGTCTCCCCAGCAGCTCAGACCAGGATGGTGGCCAAGCAGAAGGAAGAGCAATTCGTTCTACGTGGGCAGATTCTGGAAGACTTTACAAAGAAGGTGCTATTTAGTCGAACCATAAAGAAGGAGTGAAAAGAAACTAACAGCTAGAAAAGGGTGGTATTCTGAACAGACACAAGCTAAGCAAGACTTGAAGAGCTGAGGGGCAAAGGCAGCTTAGAGAGAGTGTTAGAATTCTGACAAGGACGGAGTGCAAAGCCTGAGGCTGGAAAGGTAGGTCAGGACAGGCTGCAGATGGTCTGGAATGACTTGCTGTGCCTGCACTTGACCTTATTTTTGTAGGTCAGGGGTTGTAGGCATTTTGCATTTTTGTACTTTATATTGGTTTTTAAATTTTTATATTTCAACAGAATTTTTGTCAAGTGATTCTTACATGAAACTTGAATGTATATATAACCAAGAGAAGTGATGCTTTATCAATACAAACGGACTTTTATTATCTCAGCTTTATTACATTTGCCTCTTCTTAAATTAACCAATGGGAAAAGTTGTAATTGTTCCCATGTTACTCAAGATTTTTTTCCTAGCGCGAGTGACAGAAAACCCAATCTAAACTAACTCAGGGGAGAAACAAAAAGTGGGGGACAAAGAAGGATTTTTTTACTTCTGTAAATCCAGAAGTGGTTCTGGGATTCAGGAGAAGCTGAAGGAGTACGATCAAAGCTTTTTGCCCATTTTAACGCAGCTCCGCATCCCTCTCTGCCGGCTGCTCCGCTCTCTAGAAGGGCTTCCTCGCAGTGGGGGCCCAGGCTCGGAGCCTGTAACCAGCTTTGTCAGTTGTCATCTCCTTCCCAAGAGAGCCCAACACAGTCCCAGAACTAAGCCTCAGCGGCCGGGCCTGGCTCACATGCCTATCCCTAACCCTGTCACTGGCCTGACTATGTTGCCTACTGAGTGACCACCCAGAGTCTCCATGGACTGAGTGTGGAGGCAGGTAGTGTCTCAGAGGGAAACTGAGGTGTTTCTACCAGAAGAAGAAGAAAGGATGCTGGGCAGGTAAAAACAACAGTTGTACAAATATAACGTGAACATTTTAAATTAGGGATAAGGAATAACAATTACAGGCTTTTATCAGTCTCAACACCCAGTCTGCTTCTGTACTTTATTTTAGTTGCACAGTATTGAGAAAATCCCAATTAACATAGGGAGTGGTTACAAATAGTAACCTTTTTTTATTTTTAAAAAATATTTTATGTATGTATGTATGTATAGAGAGTGTGCGTATGTGAGCGGGGGGGAGGGGCAGAGGGAGAGAGAGAATCTCAAGCAGACTCCCCGCTGAGCACGGAGCCCATTGCGGGGCTCGACCTCGCGACCCTGAGATCATGACCTGAGCCAAAATCAAGAGTCGAACCCTCAACAAACTGAGCCACCCAGGTGCCCCCAACAGTAACTATTTTTTAAACAGCATACGTGGAACCCCCAGGATGTTCTTCCATTAAATGTGTGCCTGAGTTTGAAAGGAGACCAAAAGTTGAGTAACAGGAAATTCTATGTCAGAGTTTAATTACAGAAACCACGATGAGGCTCCTTTGTTGATTACAGTGTTCACCCGGAAGATGCTTCTCAAATATGTCTGTAATAGATGATGATAAATTCAACAATATCATTTTTTTTAAAACTCCGATATCGCAGTGACTATGGTCCCGAGTCCGAATACAGTTAAATAAACGTTGTTTTGCTATTAAAGTCACAATTTGAAGTTTCAGCTGAAGTGCTGACATGTTACCAGCAAGTAAGCACGGTGACATTATAACCCCACACTGCCAAATCATATTAAAAAACATCAGCCAGTGATGTAACTCTTATATCAGAGTCCTATTTTGCAAAGTTTCCTTTTCGGAGAAAATAGTGATTTCTCATCTCAAATGAAAGAGTAATAAGAACACCTTCTTTTGAGACAGTAGATAAATATTACCAGAAAAAAGTAAATTCAGGAGCTCACAACCTTGTACATTCCAAATAACTTTGAAAATCCTGGTTTGATGATCATGTCTTATTAAACTGACAATATGGAGAGTATTATTAACCACGGTTTTAAAAGACGCTGCTACCTCCTTAACAGCAAGCCTTTCTATGAAACTTTCCAGTGTCTTTTCTAAAATCACATTTCAGCAACAACGTTCCCCACTACTCTGCACCACTGTACCATTCTACATTATTTTATTTTTCTTGGTGTGAATGGCATGCTTTCTTTCCTAGACTGAAAAGCTCCGTGAGGCTGGGACTCATTCATCACATGCTTCCTCCTCATACAGGACAGTATAATGTATCCTAAGAGCTTAGCGTGAGGTCTGATAGGAGGCAGGACTCAATAAATGCTTGGTAAATAAATGCATAAAAATAATTAATGTGGCTTATTTACAACAAAGTTGAAGGGGGAGTTTTGTCTAGCCATTGTGTCAAATAAAATTCCTGAGACGAAACAGTTTTGTACTCCAAATTAAGGGCAGACAAAATCAAAACCCAAAAACTTACCTCCTTCAGAGAAATGCTCTCTGACTGAGCTCTGTGTTTCGAGGGCTCTTTTGGCCACACACACGCTCACACTTTTCACCAGTCATTCATTCATCACTCATTCATTCATCATTCATGTGTTCGTGTACTGTCCTGGTTGCTGAGGATGTTTTAAGAAGGCATTGAACATAGTCCTTGACCTTAAGGAGCGTAGTCAGGGAGAAGCATAACAAATCATCATAGAGCCACCTGATTCGTGCCATAATAGAGATATGAATATTACATGGCGTCGATCAGGCTTTTTCGGGTTGCCAGGAAGACAGGCGTGCTCTGGTGCCTCGGGTTAATGTGGTTCGTTGTGAGGATACCGGAGGAAGTGGGGAAGAGCAGGAGGCAGCTCTAGCAGCTGCCTGGCGGAACTGGGAATGTCATTCAGGTCATAGCATACCTCCAGCCACCTGTTTTTCTTGACATGGCTTCAGCAGTAGGCATCCGTTGCTCCTTCTCTAATGCTCTGCCAGTGTGGTGACTCAGCTACACTCTGCCTCTGCTTTTCTCTGCTCGTGCTGCCAAATCCCCTCGGCACTTCTTTTCCTCCACGCCATTGTTCCCGTTTTGTCATGGCCCCCACCGCCATGGGGACAGGGCTTTCTGACTGCGCTCAGCGCGTCCGCCCATTTCTACCAACCTTTTGGTTTAGCTCCCCTCCTCCCCCACACTCACTAGGTTTCAAATTCAAGTGGAATTTGAAGAGGCTTTGCGTGATTGGCCAGTCATCATCTAGGAAACAGGGACCACATGGGGCGGAGCTCTTGCATCAGCCCATTTCATTGGCTGCTGGACACACAGCCTCAGGTCTCGGTTCAATCTGCTGCAGCCAGGAAAGCGGGGCTCAGGGTTACGAGCGTCACAGGAGGGTTGTAGTTGGGGCTGGCAACCTTAGCAATTGACTTTTCTTCGGTACAGTGTACCACTGTATTGTTTGCCATCTCCAGTTTCTGCCCACTGTTGGGCTTTGCTACGTATAATGTCAGAGTTATAATCGATTTTTGAAATAGACTTTTTTTTTAAAAGATTCATTTATTTGAGAGACAGAGAAGACGAGTGGGGTGGGGAGGGGCTGAAGGAGAGAGAATTTTTTTTTTTTTAAGATTTTTATCTTTTATTTATTTGTTTGACAGAGGCACGGCGAGAGAGGGAACACAAGCAGGGGGAGAGGGAGAAGCAGGCTTCCAGAGGAAGCAGGGAGCCCGATGCGGGGCTCCCTCCCAGGACCCTGGGACCATGACCTGAGCCGAAGGCAGACACTTAAGGACTGAGCCACCCAGGCACCCAGAGAGAGAGAGAGAATCTTAAGCAGCAGGGAGCCAACTTGGGGCTCCACCTCAGATCCTGATACTATGACCTGAGTGGAAACCAAGAGTCAGAGGCTCAACAGACTGAGCCATCCAGGTGCCCCTGAAATAGACTTTTTAAAGTTATTTTAAATAGCTAAAAATTAAAAACAATTAAATATCCCATAAGAAGAAAATAGCTGAATAAATTATATTTATGAGAAGGAAAATTAAATAGCCTTCCAAAAGAATCATAATTTGGAAGATATATTATGACAAGAGAAAATACTTATTGATATAATGGTAAATAAAAATCAGTACATACAAGTTATATAGTGTTATTAATGAGCTAATTACACACTCACCTATGGAGTTGAGAGAGAATAAACTGGAAAGACAAGGTGACGGGGACTTGGGATGATGAAATGCTGTGTAAGTCTTATGGGGGTTTTTTTACGCATTTTTTTTTTTAATTTCTCAACCTTTCAAAGGTAAAAGTAAAATTCTCCATTTTAAGATATATAAAGCAGTATAAATGACCACTCTTTCTTAGGAGGCAAAACCCATAAATTGGTTTGACAAAAAATACAAGGTACTTTGGATCCCACTTTCAGTAAAGAAAGTGGGGTTTTCTTTCTTGTTCATGAATGCCTAACAGCACAGAAACAAAGATGACAATGAAATCAAAAGTACAACAGAAAAACAGGATGCATGATGGTTAATCATGTGCCTTGTGTTTTGTATTCTTAGAGGGATGTATGGATTGTCAAAATATAGTCCTTGCTCATCCTGCCTGATCATGAATCGCAATGGAATGGGGTTCAGAAGGTGCAAAAATGGGAGACAGCCTGTGAACAACTGAAATCCAATGGAAAAAAGTACTAATAAGATAATACGAGGGAGAGTGCCTCGGTGGGTCAGTTGGTTAAGCAACTGCCTTGGGCTCAGGTCATGATCCTGGGGTCGCAGGATCGAGTCCCACATCGGGCTCCCTGTTCAGCAGGGAGTCTGCTTCTCCCTCTGACCTTCCCCTTCTCATGCTCTCTCTCTCTCTCATTCTCTCTCAAATAAATAAATAAAATCCTAAAAAAAAAGATAATACGAAGGAGCATGGAGGCCCAGAAGAGATGGCTAATTCTGCCTGTGAGAGTGAGGGAAGAATTTAGAAAGTGAGTGACATTTGAGCTGAGCCTTAAGAAATAGTAATTGAATTTTCAAGGGATCCAGGAAGAAGGCACCTTTCGTCCCTTCCTGAATTCTAAACTAATTGAGAAATAATACAGAGGGATTAGGCAGATGGGAAACCAAACTATCACCTTTATTTGATATAGTTGATATTGAAGAATAAGGCTTTATGGCTGCAGGGAAGTGGCTTTCCAATTCTGAACCCAGAATTACACAGATTTATCCATGCAGTCACAGTATTGCATGGCAGAGACAGACTTCCTGACGGAGGACAAGACTCCTCTAAAACTTACAACAGGAGAATCAGTGCAGAACCTGTATCTTCAGCAGTCAGGCCCACCCCAAGAAGAAAAAGGGAGGAAGAGGCTGGAATACATGGGTTTGATGCAGTGGGTTGAATGATGGCCCCCTAGAAGATATGCCCACCCAGAATCTGTGACTGTGACATCATTTGTGAAAAAAAGCTTTTTGTGTATGTAACTAAGTTAAGGATCTTGGGGTGAGATCATCCTGGGTTTGGATGGGACCTAAATCAAAGGCAGGTGTCCTTAGAAGACAGAGAGGCCATGTGAAGGTGGAGGCAGAGCTGGGAGTGATGCATCTACAAGCCAAGGAAGACCAAAGATTACAGGTAACCACCAGAAGCTGGGAAAGAGGCATGGGACAGACATTTCCTCAAAGCCTCAGAAAGGAACCAGTCCTGTCCACACCTTGATTTTAGATTTCTGGCCTTCAGAACTGCAAAAGAATACATTTCTATTGTTTTAAGCCATTCGATTTGTGCCGATTTGTTACTGCAGCCCAAGAGACTAATACACTGTGTTTCTTCTTCTAAACTCAGCCATCTGGAGTAGAAAGAGGAGGGAGAGTCCAGATGATTCCCCTAGTAGAGTTGCCTCCACATAAAAGGAAATATTATGAATGGGGAAGACCTATCTTCCCCTAAAATAATAATAAACGCCTTTAACGTTTTTTTGAGTGCTACTCATACCAGCTATTGTTTTGAGTGGTTTCAGAAAGAATACAATAGAGGACTATGTAAGGAAAGGGAATTCCAGGCCAAGGGGGAAGCTCTGTGGGGTTTTCCCGACCCACACACTTCCTCATCTATTCCTGCACAACTTCCATCCATCCCACGGACATTTGGTCCAGGGCTACTGTGATTTACAACTTTGGGTCTTCGGGTTTCTCATGTCCTCTAGTCATAAAGATAGGAAGGTGTTTAAGTGTTTAATTATAAAATTTCTGTAAATATTATATAATGTTTATGAAAAAAAAACATAGCTGTATTAGTCAGGGTTCCCCAGAGAAACAAAACCAAAAGTTACTGATTTAAATGTTAATCAGATGTAAAAATACCTTCACAGCAACATCTAGATTTGTGTTTGACCATACGGCAGGTACCATACATAACTTTGCCAAACTGATACATAAAATTAACCTCACAATGGGATTTTATTTTGTTTTAATTTATGTGGGGTTTTTTTAGCTGTGGTAAAATATACATGACATAAAATTTCCCAATTTAACCATTTTTAAGTGTACAAGTTCAATGCGTTGAGTACAGTCACATTGTTGTGCAGAACTCTTTTCATCTTGCCAAACTGAAACTCTGGACCCATTGAACAGTAATTCCCCATTTTCTCTTCTCTCCAGCCATTGGCAACCTCCATTCTATTCTGTGTCTCTATGAATTTGACTACTCTAAGTACCACATAGGAGTGGAATCATAACAGAATTTTTCCTTTTGTCATTAGCTCATTTCACTTGCCTTCAAGTTTCACCTATGTTTTAGCTTGTATCAGAATGTCCTTCTTCATTAAGGCTGAATAACATTCCACTGTATGTATAAACCACATTTTTTTCCTCCATTCATCTGTCAGTGGTCACCTGCATTGCTTCTACCTCTTGAGGATTGTGAATAACGATGCTATGAACATGAGTGTGCAAATATCTTTCCGAGATCCTGCATTCAATTCTTTTGAATACCTGGAGGAGGAATTACTTGATCATATGATAATTCTATTTATTTTTTTGAGAAACCACCATATTATTGTCCAAAGTGGCTGCACAGTTTTACTATACTCTAGTCAGCATTTAAAAACTGGAAGCAGAAGATAGGATTAACTGTTGCTTAAGAAAATGCATATACATTAATATTCAGCCTGTAACCACACACCCCAAAGTGCGCAAAGCACTCAACAAGTAACCAAAATAAGTTGTGGGTACTGCAGGTTGACTATGCAGCCTCCATTCAACCTTTCAATCTTTCCTAAGAGAATTTCAATTTTATTCAGTCACTCTCTTTTTCCCTACAGTGGCACGTGCCTCAGAGAAAACCAACCCCAGCTCTAGGAATTGGTCTGATTGGTCTAAGAAAAATATCGCCCTTGTCAGGACTTAGGCTGTGCTTAGGCAGGTGACTCGATTTTGGCCAATAAAATGAGAATGAAATCAGGAGTGGGGCTCCTGAAGAATTGTTCCTCATTCTTAAAAAAGCATCATAGGAAGAAATCCTTCCTCTTCTTCCTCTAGACGTTGTCATTTCTGCATATAATTCTTGGAATTGCACTAACCTGAGGATAAAGCCAACATTAACCATGGAACAGTGGAGAGATGGAAAGAATCCATCACTGAATTGTTGAATTAACTGAGTCTGGAACCCGCCCTATACACGTTGGTCTACTTGATGACAGAACAAGCTTATAAAAATATTTGGCCCTCCTCCCTGCTCGGCAGGGAGTCTGCTTCTCCCTCTGACCCTCCCCCCTCTCATGCTCTCTGTCTCTCATTCTCTCTCTCACAAATAAATAAAATCTTCACAAAAAAAAATTTGGCCCTCTGTGAAAATGTAATCTGGTTATAAATATGTGAAAACTGAAAACAGAGAAAAGGAGAAAAAAGAACAAGGAATAAATTGCTCACAGTTTCACTGTATTGCTCAGGGTTCTTGGTTGCAAGCAATAGAAACCAACGCTGGTTCACTTAAGTGGAAAAAGAATGTATTGGAGGGATTGTTAAGGGGCTGGCAAAGCCAAAGTCAGGAGAACCAGGAGTCTTTCCCAGGGGATCTGGAGCCAGGCTCATCCCGATCTATATGATGTCACCATTGGCATCAACAGCACCATAGCCACTGCCACCAGCATCACATTTTCTGCCACCACTATCATC